GACCCATTGTTTAACTTATCATCACCTCTTTTGAAATCCTCCTTATTTATGCATTTCTTAGTAAGTGAGACTCTCATTCACATGGGTGCATAACTTAGAAACCTGGAACTTCATCCTAGACTACTTCTGTCACTCTTCCTCTCTACCTCCACCTCCCTCAATTCACATCTGATAGGTTACCAAGTCCTGCGGTTTCCGCCCATATTCCTCAAATCCATGACTGATCTCTTTCCAATCCCCAATGTTGCTGTCCTGACCATCTCTTCCACAGACTAGAAATAACTTCCTCTTTGGTCTTCCTACTTTTTGCCTTGCCTCCCTTCTATTAGACACACTGGGGTCAGAGAAATTATTTAACATGCAAATCAGTTCTCTACCGTGACAAAAAGCCTTCAATGTCCACACTGTCAACAGGCTAAAATCTAAACTTCTAAGCATGACTTAAAAAGCTATTTATTATCCAGAGGCGCCTGGGTGGCCCAGGCTGTTGGGCGTCTGCCTTAGGCTCCGGTCATGATCCCAGCATTCTGGGATCAAGCCCGCATCGGGCTCCCTGCTCAGCAGGGAGCCTGCTTCTCCCTCTCCCACTCCCCCTGCTTGTGTTCCCTCTCTCTCTATGTCTCTATCTGTTAAATAAATAAATAAAATCTTAAAAAAAAGCTATTTATTATCCAATATCTACTTAATGGTCTGCCTCATTTTCTGACATTCTCTAGAAGCACCCCATGCTTCAGCTATATGGATCTACTTTCAAATCCCCAACATGCCAAGCTCTCTAATAATTCAGTGCCTTTGCACCTGCTACCCTTCTGCTTGGAATTCCTTGTCAGTCTTGTTGGCCTGACCAACTCCGACTTAAATTTCAAGCCTCAGCTCTAGGGTTATTTTCCTTTTTTAAAACTGTGCAGGCAGACTAACGCTTCACGCAGACGAACACTTGAGTTCCTTATTGATATGTTAACCACCTGCACCATAGCAGTTTTAACATTTTAATTATTTGTCTTTATCAATTAGTGTTTCCAAACTAAGTTGTAAGCTTCTTGAGGGTAGGGACCATGATTAATCTCATCTTTGCTTCCCCAGCACTTAACACAGTGACTGGTATTGAATATTTTTAATAGGCACTTGAATGAATGCAAAAATAAATTCGTTAACTAGTGAGAAAAATGTGCAGGCTAGGGTCTAACTGTAAGTCATAGGTTTTCACTTAAGTACATTTAAAAAAAATTGGAAAAAATATAGAATATATTAATGGAAACTTAAGAACAGAAAAGTAATCTCATACTCTTTTACCATCCTTTTTTTAATTTTTAAAGATTTTTATTTATTTCTTTGACAGAGAAAGACACAGCGAGAGAGGGAACACAAGCAGGGGGAGTGGGAGAGGGAGAAGCAGGCTTCCCGCAGAGCAGGGAGCCTGATGCGGGCTCCATCCCAGGACCCTGGGATCATGACCCTAGCAGAAGGCAGACACCCAATGACTGAGCCACCCAAGCGCCCCTTATTTTGCCATTCTAATGCCTGTTTCAACACACTTATTATTTACTTTTGGTCTTTGCTCAAATATGTGGTAAATAAAAAAATATATATATATATTTATATTTTACGTAGCTAAAATGTACATGCACTTTCTTATGGTTTTGTTATTTTTTTAAAAAATGAGGTGTGCTTTTTTTATAAAGATTTTATTTATTTGAGAGAGCGAGAATGAGAGAGAGAGAGAGAGCACATGAGAGGGGGCAGGGTCAGAGGGAGAAGCAGACTCCCTGCTAAGCAGCAGGGAGTCCGATGCGGGACTAGATCCCGGGACTCCAGGATCATGACCTGAGCCGAAGGCAGTCGCTTAACCAACTGAGCCACCCAAGGGCCCAAAATCTTATGGTTTTAAGTTTAACTGTAAACATTTTCCAACACTGCTGCGAAGTCATCTAAACTATCATTTTTAACAATGTATAATACTTCATTCCCCTACTTAGGTTGACAGCCTAAAGAGGTTAGGCTGTACTCCGTTTCCTATTATAAATAGGAACAGATCCAGGTTTTGTGGGACTTGAAATTTATACAATTTTGAGAGATGTCTTCAGAAAAGAATACAAAATTATCTTACTTTGCAAACCATCAACCCATTCTTAGGGCTCCTCCCAGGGTTTGGAAGGGGCCTGTGAAAGTGAGGCATCCTGAAGGTTAATTTTCATCAGTTTCACGGTGATCTAACTCCAATTATAAATAATCCTGCAGTAAGTATTTTGAGCATGTGATTTTTTTCCTCTCTCTCCCATTATTTTCCAAGGTTTCCAAGTTATTATGACACCATTCACCTTGAAGAAGTTGAGAAAGGAAATGATCATTTATTGAGCACCTATTATATATTGAGCATTTTACACATATTATTTAACTTAATCCTTACTATAAGCCTGAAGGAGGTATGATCCCCACTTTACAGATGAGAACACTGAGGTGCAGTGCATGTAAATATCATGTCCAAAGTCACACATCTTGTAAGTGGTGGGGTTTGGATCCTGTCTCAGTCCAAAGCTCATGCCTTCTCTTTTCCACTACATTGTGGTGTCTCCACAGCCTCGCTAGCTTCACAGTAATATTTTCTAGGCTGTTGCTGAAAAACCTGGTTCTCAGTTATCTGTTTTGAGGAGGCCAGAAGACAAAACTTGCAGTCTTTTTTTTTTTTTACGATTTTATTTATTTATTTGAGAGAGAGAGACAGTGAGAGAGAGCATGAGTGGGGAGGAGAGGGAGAAGCAGACTCACATGGGGCAGGGAGCCCGATGTGGGATTCGATCCCAGGACTCTGAGATCATGACCTGAGCCAAAGGCAGACACTTAACAGACTGAGCCACCCAGGTGTCCCAAAACTTGCAGTCTTGACAGGGTTCTTGGAAGAAGGTGGTTTAAAACTGTGGTGGTTAGACTTTCTCAGGTGTATTTAGGAGAAAGTGATTTGACTATTTCTGCCCTCTGTCTGCTAACAGACATGTATCACCTTGGTTCAGCATGCATTTCGTGGAAGGAGCATTATCTGAAGTTGAAAGACCTGGGCTGGGTTTGAATCCTGCTATTCACTACTTGAGTGGCCTTGGTAAATCATTGAACTCATTTTCCTCCCACATGCGATGAGGATAAATAACAAAATCTGCCTCACTCCAGGCTAGCTTTGAGTGTCCAATGGGATGATGTGTGTGCAAGCACCTAGTGAACTCCAATGTTAACTGAGGTACAGTAGTGGTCCCTTATCTGAGGTTTTGTTTTCCGCGGTTTCATTTACAGGAGGTCAACCACAGTTGGGAAGTAGATGATTCTGACTGTTGTCAAAAGATCAATAGTAGCCTAAGGTTACCTCACAATACGGCATCATTTCACCTCACTTCATCTCTCATGGAGACATTTTATCATTTCACATCATCACAAGAAGTGGGAGTACAGTACAATAAGATAGTTTGAGAGACCACACACATAACTTCTATTATAGTATTTTGTTGTAATTGTTCTATTTTATTGTTATTGTTGTTAACCTCTTATTGTGCCTAATTTATGAATCAAACTTTATCTTCGGTATGTATGTCTAGGTAAAAACAGTATATACAGGGTTGGGTACTATCCATGGTTTTAGGCATCCACTGGGGGTCTTGGAGGCATCCCCTTATTGATGAGGGGGGACTACTGCATTAGTAACATTGTGGGAGTTGCTCCACTGTCCCCGCCCATCTGCCTCCAGGTAAGTGCCTGTGACAGCTGGGCAGAATGCACCTGATGGCTCCATTACGGTTAACTGCGGCTGGAGTTCCTTCCTAGGCTGAAGCTGCCACTTCTTTTTACGGGGGTGGGGGTGGGGTGGGGTGGTGTATGGGCTGTTACACCTGGAAGCCCAGTGCATCAAGGGCAGCAGAAGCTGTGCAAAACCAGTCTGAGATTCTGGTGAATCTTTTCCTCCTTAAGCTGCGAGCTGATCAAAAATGCCAAACACTTACCTATAATCGCAACTTGTAAAATCCCAAACACGGTCCTTACCAATTGTCCCTTTGCTCTGTCTTAGGTGCTGACGCATTTATCTTGGAATTTTACCTGCCAGTTTAGAAATCTGTAGTCCTTGTTGGACCTAATTCTGGGGACGGTCTGTAATTCTGCAAAGCCAGGAAAAAAGGAAAAGCTCTGCTTTGAGTTGGCGTTTGAACATCCTTCACCGTATCACGTTTAAAGCTGGTGTAAGCAGCATTCGTCTTTATTTTCCCTAAAAGAAAAAAGCTTAAGCCCATTTCCAAGCCCGAAGATTGAGCTCACCGCCCCGCGTCGGGACCGGCGCAGCACCCCGAGCACGGCCTGCCGCTCCGCCGGCCGCCCGCCGCCTCCCACACCCCCGGCCCAGGTGTCACCCAGCGGGTGCCCGGACCTCCACCTGGCTCGGCCGGCGGCGACCGCACAAAGAGCAGAGCAGGCGGCGGCCCGGCCGAGCCGCAGAAAGTAGTCCCGACCACGCCGGGCCGATGTTGTTCGACGTCGCTTCACGCCCTCCGCGGGGAGGGCCGCAGCGGCCGGCCCAGGAAAGAATCCCATAGGAATGCGCCGGCGGGAGACCCCTTCCCTCCAGGCCGCCTCTGCTTGCCTGGCGGATCTCCCGGGGTCTCCAAGCAGAGGCCGTGCGCGCCGTCCCCCACTTTCTTTCGTAGCTGCACGGGAGGCGGCGCCGAGGGAGGGGCTCGCCCGCGCGCAGGGAGACCTTCGCGGCGACCCGTGGCGGCGGCGGGCCCGCGGTATCCCTGCGCCGCTGCGTGAGAGGAAGAGGCTGAATGAGGAGCTGCGCGGGGGAAGCGGGGCGCCGGGGGAGGAGGCGGCGGGATGGAAGCAGACGCTGGCGTCGCGCGAGCCCCCGGCAGAGCGGCGCGGTAGAGAGGGCGGCGGCGGCGGCGCGCGCGGAGCCCTGACGTGCCCCTTTCTTTCTTCTCTCTCTGGAAAGCTGGGAAGCATGAGCGTGCAGACCTGCCGCTGCGGCGGCCGCCCCGGGTCCTCGCCTCCCCCTCTTCTGGCCGCCCCTCGCCGGTGAGAGAAGAGAACGCGAGAAGGGAAGATGGGGGCCGTCCTGAGGAGCCTCCTGGCCTGCAGTTTCTGTGCGCTCCTGAGAGGTGGGAAGGGGGGGCGCGAAAGTTGGTGGGATTTGGGGGGGAGGTGGCCTTGTTTTGTGTGTGACTGGGGGGAGGGGGAGGAAGGGAGAAGAAGGGGAAGAGGAGCCAGGAGAGGCCTGGTGGGGAAGGAGAGAGAAAGGGGCCCGGGAGAAGGGGCTGTGCGCTCCGCCTGGCCACAATGCAGACCCCTTCCCAGGGTTCCGGCCCTTCCCTGGACAAATCGGAGCCTCAGTCCGGGCTGCTTGTCTAGGTGAATCCCTGGAGCCCCATTCTGTCGCAATGACTGAGGGTCTGTGTGTCTCTTTCTGCCAGGAGTCATCTGGCAGAAGGATCTTTGTATGTATTTTGGCTTTTAAAATGTTTGAGCCCAAGATGCTTTAACGTTGGTCTCCTCTCTCGAAGCCCCCACCTTTTCAGTGTCTCTTACGTGAACTTTTCGAGCCTTCTTACTGTTTTTCCAGGCCTTGTTACTACTAATGATTGGCTTCCGTTGGGGATATAATGATCCTGGGTGAGAGCACAGTTGGAAAGTGACTCCGAGGTTATAGGTCGAGCGTTTCAGCATTGGGATTCTTCTGAGCTTCAGCCCATGATAAAATAGAAACGTTGCCCTTGTAACCCCTGGTATTCAGGACTTGCCCCTATTTTCAGAGCATGCAAGTGTACAGTTGGCACTAAGTAGGAAAGTCATCCTTGTGTGAAGAGGAGCCCGTCCTGGGACCTAAGTTATCATTTGCTGCGCTCTCCTGGGGACTCCTTGCACTTTGGTAAATAACATGGGCTATCCTAGATAATTTGCTCGGAGAATCGCATACGTTCGATGGCCCTTTAGTTTTTTGAATTGGCCTGTAAAGCTGTCACATACGCTGTGACTTATTTTGTGACAGTTCACTAAGGTTTTGATTGGCCCGCAAGATTTCAACAGCTCTTCTCAAACTTATCAGTGTTGAAGTGGTGACGCGTCTGGTGCTATTGAGCATTTACCAGCCGAGGAATTTAAGTACGGATCGATGCAATAGCTCTGGCTTTGGTTTTGTTAAAATTCTCATTTGTGTTCATGGTAAATTCTTTTCAGGTATAAGACCTCTTGAGTCTATGGAGATTTTTAGCTCTTAATTTAACAAGCTAAACTTTTGTTAAGCCTCCAAAACTCGCTAAAGTTTACAGGGCACTCATGATCTTGCACAAATGAGCCCAGTATGCCATTTCTGTGTGTGTATATTTATTTTGGATGAATGCGATTGACTTTTTTTTTTTTTGGAGGAGGAGGAATTTTTTTCCTTTGGTTACTCTTCTTAAGGATTATTACATTTGCATGTTATATCTACTTATACTTAGTAATTATTGACTCACTGTAAGCATATTCCAAAGCATTTTCACATGTAACCCCTTAAAGATAGTGCTCACTTAATTTTCTTGGCAGAGAATTTAATGAAGTGTTGTGTCTTTGAGAGGTTTAATAAGTGTATGTTTATTTCATTATAGTATACTCTTTGTTGAAAGGGGATTTTGCTATAGCTGTGAGAAATGTATTTCACATAAGAATATGTACATTTTCTAAAACAGAAAGTTAGTAGAGTTAAATATGAGAGTCAGCTGATTGGTTAAAGTCTTGGGGAAATCGAAGTCCATAACCTGGGATACTTCTGGTTGCCCGGTTGTATTTCTTTGAGGGTAAGAGTGTGATGTAAATGCCATTTGTTTATTTTAACACCAAATTTGAGCTTAGAGTTGGGTTTGTTCCTTCCTGGAGTTTAGAAAAGTTGCACTTGAAGTATTAATCTGAGGTATGGTGTTATGTACCAAGACCTAAAAGAGTTAATATTTTAAACTCCCTCATTTCTAAGGGATGAAGGAGTCAATAGTTTAAACTCCCTCATTTTCTTAGGAAAGTTTGCATAAGTAGACCTCTCATTTTAAATGTAGCATATTAATGCTATAAGGTGGTCCTCGAATTTAACAGTACTTGACTGTGAGTACATATTATTTGAACTAAAATGGTATTTTGATGTGAAAGATTTTGTTCATATTTTAGATTCGTTTCATTCCTCGATAATGTCGTTCTCTGTTACAATAGTGGCATTAGTTAACCTTGGACTCTGAGGAGAAAAATGTGATTAATTTGTTGCATTGAAATAATTTTTTTTTCACAGAGGAGTTAACATTGAGAAGTTAACATTGGGATGGTGGGATGATGAGAGGGTTTGGGAGACCTTTTGTCCTGTAGTGCTGTTAAATCAATATCTGAAGGCCAAGGAATAATGCTGTCATCATCTGGGCTGCATCCCTATCCCTACCATGGGAGGACAGAGTGTAATGGAAAGATTTGGAGATTTTGACACTAAAATCTTGGGTTTTAAAGTCTGTGCTTCTCTACTTAATAACTTTGTGATTCTGGTCTAGTCAATTTCTCTGCGCCTCAGTTTCTTTACCTGTAAAATGTAGGTAGTAATACCGATCTGATTTACATGTTTAATGGGCATATTAAATGAAATGATGAATATCAATGATTTGCTAACGTTATTTTTGTTATAATTTTTTATTGTGGACATATCCTCAAATGCTAGGAATTTGAGATTTAATTTATATAAGATTTACAAATTCTTACAGGTAGAAGAGATCTTGATCATTCTGTTCTAACAGCTTCATTTGCAAGTGGGGATACTCAGATTCAGAGAGATTATGATTTGATTAAGCTCCTACAGTAATTAATGGTAGAGGGATACTAGGGATTTATTAATGGTAGGGATTTATTGTTCATTCTTTTAGCAAATATGTTTGGAATACCTACTGTATATCAGGCTCTGATGTTATAGTGGCGAGTAAAATAGACATGTCCCTGTTCTAATGGACCTAACAATCTGGGTTGTCTTCCTTACTATTCTTTTAGTTCCATCTAGGTACTGATTAGAAAAGATTATGTCTCTGATTTTCTAGAGGAAATATTTTTATAAGAATAAATTTTGGAATACCGGTTTGTGTATAATCTGCAAATACTTTGGGCTTGAGGAGGTTTTGTTGTTCATAAACATTTTCTGCTACTTAGTTTTTAAAAAAGTATATTAGTTTTGGTGGGATGGTGGAAAATATTGTGCAGACAAGCCACTAGTGTTTTCCATCTTAGAGAAGTGGTCCTTGGAAAAGCTTTTTCTTTAATATCAAATATAAAATCTTGAGGAGGTAGAATGAATTTTGGAGTGGGAATCAGGAGAATTAGATTCTAAGTTTGCTATTAGTTATCTGTGTTGTAACCTTGGATAAGTCGCTTAATCTCTGTACATCTTATTTGCGTGAGGATGATGAATCCTTTTGGAGCTGCGTAATTCACATTAACATGTTAAGGGCTCTGAGAGAATGTGAAGTAGAGAGACCAATTTTAATTTTATTTAACCTGCTGTTTTCCAAACTTGATATTTTTTCCATAAATCCTTTTAACATTCTACTGAACCTTGATCCAAGGAACACACTTGGAGAGAGCTGGACTGGATGGCCCTTTGAGCATGAGGTTGATTAGTGTGATTGATATTTGATGATAATTTCATGTAGTTGAATTTGATAATTCATTCCTACTTACTTATTTGGCTTTTGGTTTCCTCATCTGGCTAGGGAAAAATTTGATTGGTATGTGTAAGGTTATAACTCATTGTTATCATGAAGCCTAACAGTGACTTCCCATGGTTTGGTTTCTCAGAGACTTTTTTGTTTTGCTATAATTGGAGGTTTTTCCATTTGCTAAACTGAAGTATTCTTCCATACAATTATACGTGCTTTGGCTATCAGAAAGGACCGTCTTTTTTGAATATCAAAGAAGACTGTGTGGAGGGTATATAAATGGAGAATATTTTATGTGAACTTAAAATTTAAACATATTGGAAAAACACAGTAACCTGTTTAGGTCATGGGTAAATATTCTTGAGAAAATTCAATCTCATCATGGAAGTTTCATTGCAAGTTTATATTCAAAGATTATATAGTGGGGCACTATAGCAGGAAGGTAGGGGCTTTGTTGATAAACCAAGGTCAGATCTTCTACTACTTTATATAGCCTTGGACAAGTTACTTAGCTTTAGTGTCCTCTTCTGTGAAATAGGGATAATACCTTATAAGATTTTTATGAGAACTGATGGGATAATATTTGCAAAGGGAGAGTATAGTGCATAGTCAATAGTAGACTTTGAATAAATTGTTGCTAATATTAAGGTGGCTAAGTTAAAGGAGATATTAATGCTCAGGAAAGACTGGTAAAACATTTAAGTGTCAGGCACTGTTACAGGGAGTCAATAGTTTTAGGCCAGTGGTTTTTGAACTTTTTTTTGACTCTTCTGCAACCAAAGCAGAAGTTCCATGAAATACTTTCACTTCTGATATTTTCTTTTTTCTTTTCTTTTTTAAGTTTTTCTTTATTTTTTTAAGTAATCTTTACCTCCAACGTGGGGCTCAAACTCATGACCCCAAGATCGAGTCACATGCTCCATCATCTGAGCCAGCTAGTCATCCCGCTTCTGATATTTTCTATTTTATATAACTAAAATCGCCACTATATTAAATTTATTTTACCTTAAAGAAATGCAGCTTTAACACTCTCCTAGGTGAGTATTATAAATAAACTAGAAGATAAATAGTGCAGCTGATTGTGATACTTATTTACTTATTTAAGAGTTAAGTATAGGCAAAATAATTTTATCAAAACATTGTTTAATTGACAAAATTTTTATTGTATTATTTCGTTACAACAGTTAAAATTATTCAGTTGATAGACTTTTCCCTGCAGGATGGGTAAATGCTATACTGAGTTCCTGCATTGCATGTTTAACTCTTTGTATGAGAGTGTTTATATATGTTCTGTAAAATGAGCCTCATCTTAATGACTAGAACACTTCCATGTGAATAACTTTGAAATTTAGTCAAATACGTAGACCAGGCAACCTAAGAATAGGATATTTGCCCTTGAAATTACTAATTTAAAATATAATTCATCATAAATGCAAGGAAAATAATGT